GCTCAAACTATAAATATAGTTTTAACCTGAAAATTTTTATTTTAATATTTATAAGATTTTAAAAGACGTATATAAGATTTTAAAAGTAGTGAAAGCATTTATCGTGTATATAGTAATTATTTTCTTTTTTTTGAACGTGTTAGAAACCATAAAAACAATGTATTGTTGCATAAAAACCATAAATTTTGATTGAATGAATAACCAAAGAAAAAAATAATAATAATGAAATAGGAAAATGATAGCTATAATTTAGTTTTAGAAAAAAAAAACATACTTTGCATATATAGTTTCATATGAATATAAGATCGCACCTCAACTTAGTGATGAAAACTTTTGATATATTCATATGAAATCCAACATGTTTGTTTAGTTTGTTTGCTGCAAAAAGACAAATGTTATTTTTAGCTATATAATCCTTTTAGTTACACCTGAATGGAAATGATCTATAATTAATTCCTCTCAAAATTATATATCATCGTATATAACAACCTAATAAACATAACATATATGTGTAATGTGTTTATTATTTGTGTTTAACATATGTATCTATCAAAGAGTATTTGATTTGGTTTTCTTTCGTTTTTGTGAATAAACGTTGAAAGTTGAGTTGTTGAATGCGACATGCTTTATTTTTCATTGAGTTGCAAGTTTTGGTGTGTTTTATTTTTTTAGTGAATCAAATTCATATGGAGATTTTTGTGGCTTTTTAAAATGAATTGGAATGGATATTAATTATGATTACTATGGATATTCAGGATAAGAGGTTCTTATCCATAATGAAAGGAAATACATAAACAAAATTATTTGAATTTTAAGAGAATAGCGTATCTAACAAGAAAATACAATTTTATGTTTTTGGTCAGAAGATAAAACTTATCTAAAATATGATCTAAATTTATCACCTCGCTTTACCGAATATATGATCTAAATTAACATCGTTTAGTATTATTCTAGAATAATTAATTATAAATAGTGAATTTAACTATCTTCTCCATAGAAAAGTATTTTTAATTATTTCAGATAAAAAGTACCTTTGACTTTTTCTTTTAGCGAAGATTTATCGCAC